TCTGCTAGGCCAGGAGAGCAAACATCCTAAAGGCCTCACAGCTGGAGGCAGGAAAGCCTTACACTATTTTGAGAAACCAGAGCCTCCCCTAGAACACATCCTGTAAACCAGGATTAGGCCCATCTGGGGGGAACACTTTAGAATAGGGACATGTCACATTATTCATTCAAGCCTCTCATTGGGACATCTTTGTTAGATACACTAATTTGCAAGGTCTATAAAATTGTATACACGATCTACCATGTGTGTGCATATTCCACCTTGATGAATTGTTGCACCAAAAGGATCCTTATTAAACACTGAAGTAAAATCCCTTTATCCCTTAATTGTGTCTGGCTCTTAATTTTAGGACGAAGAAAAAGGCATTGCTACCAAAATAACAAAATAAAGCAAATATATAGACAAACAAGCACTTTTACCAACTGCTAGTGAAATAGAGCAGCATTTTGCCATTTCTACAGAGTACAACTGATTTCCCTCCTTGACTCATCAAAATCTCAGTGCCCTGAAGATGAAGATTAGTTTGAAAACTGTAACTCACCACAAATGACAACAAAACAACCTCAGATTACGTGTCATTTTTAACGTCTCTGCAGCACTTTGGAGACTTTAAAACTGCATTTCAGCCTTAAGACACAATCTTTGGAAAGTGGCTATTTCTGACCCACCCACAGAAGGGATGGTTTTAAAGTTTTCAGTTTATACACATTCACCATTTGGATTATACTGAACATAATCGTAATATTTCTGAAATTTAACCTTCCAGGTACTACCATTAATTAAGGTTTCAATGCAGTCCACAGATTATAACACTCCATAACAGTATGGTTAGGTGATTCTTTCCCCACACTATCCAGTCTCAAAAAACCCAGGTTCCTTCCCCTCCATCACTCCCAGCTCAATTACAGCAGCCAGTTATTCAGTGGAATGGAATATGAAGAACTTAACAGACTTTCAAATTAAGATAAACTGAAACATTGTATTTATGTTTTGCTGCACTCCTGCCACTCTTCATCAACAGCAAAGTAACTCATGACTCATGCCAGCAATTGAAGCTCAATTCAGTGCCAAGAAGCAACAGTGTTAAAAAAAAAAACAAAACCAAACAAACAAAACCCCATACACTTCCTTACTCAGAGCTGCTTCCTTTTTGTATCCTGAGTCCTATGTGACCACAGAGGAATAAAAATATTAGCTATGCAGAATCACTACAGGAAGGCAGGGTTGCTTCCACCCCTGCAAGGCCCCAGCAACAGCCCTCCTGCTTCTTCATCAGCTGCATCACTGGGAAACCACATCTTCCCTCTTGACTGTCACAGCTCCAGACCAGGGCATCTCTCCCAAGCTCCCTGTCCCTCAGACACCATTAAAGATACAACCATTTTGCACACACAGCAGCTGCAAATCTCTCAGGGTTTATCACCAGCCTCCAAGTTCCTGTGCCAAAAAACATCAGCCCCTGGAACTATGCAAAGACATTGGCCTCTCTTTCTCTAGGCCACTGAAAAATGGCAAGCTCAGGAGAAGGCTAATCCACATCACTACAAATAAGGAAGACAAGAGCCCCAGTCAGGTGCCTCTTGACATCAGAAAACACCATTGCTGACCTCATTTGGTCCATGAAAACTTCAGAAAGATGAGGACTGTCAGAGCATGGCTGAAAGAGGAGGATTAGGAACAATTCCTCTTCACCTTGACAACTGAAAAAACAGAGCAGCCATAAACTCAGGGTCTCACAGCCTCTCCCAGAGCTCAGGAAGAATTGTGTGACCCAAATACTTCAAAAACAGCAACCCCTTCAGCTGCCCCCATATGTCCCCTTCCCCATTCACTCAACATAAAAATGACCCTGCATTGAAAATGGAAGCATAGAAAGTGCATTAACAGGCTTCTATGGAAGAAACACCTCTCATCAAATATTATGAAACTAACAGCAGAAATCTTTGACAAAAATATTTCACTTGCCCCAGACTTACAGTTTAGTTATTACTAAGCACACAAGCACAGACCAGCATACAAGTGTTCTACATCAAGGGTGGGTGATGGCCCATCACTGCCCAGCACTTCAGAGCCAGGGAGTCCATACAGATAAACTCCTGCAGGCAATGGGAATAGGCAAAGAACTCACAACAGTGCAATGTCTCAACAGATCCCAAGGATTTCCAAGTGACACCATCAGCCTTCTCACTTCCTCCAGATGACACCGACAGTTACGTGACACAAAACATTTCTCTGCTGTCCAAAGGTCGTTAATGATCAGCAGCTCTAGAAACCCTCAAAAGTGCTGGCCCTCATACTTTGGAGAGCAACTGCTCATTCCCTGCACACTCATTTTCATCCCTGGTCTGAAGAGTATGCAGGAGGATGGACAGACCTTGCCAGAAGTGGTGCATGGGATGCTCAGGAACTGATCTTTCCCATGTGCATCCAATGCAGATGGTGCAGAGACTGGACACTATCTGACCTTCAGCTCCTCAGCACTGAGGAGACAAAGCATGGAAGAGTCAGTACTCCTACCTGCCAACCACCACCAAAAGCACTACTTTATTTTCCAACTACTTTCAGTTTTCCCTTACTGTCAGGGAAGACTCTGTGCTACCACCTCCCATGGCATTATTCTCAATCACCTCTTACATAGGATTGCTCTTTGGATTCCAGCACATGGAAACCAGGAATTAACTGAAAAACTCACCTGTCATTTCAAGAGGTAATAAAGCCTAAGTCTCATGAATTCTGGCTACCACTGGAATTTTTTCCACATCAAATTCACGCTTTCCAAAGGCTGAAGTTGCCAGTACTGGAGTATTTATGTCCTACTACTTCATAAGCTGTCAAAACAAATCTGCTGGCTTTTAGTCAACTATTATACACAAATCTTTGTAACATTTCTACTCAGCTCTAGCATTGTTATGTGTAAAATTCATACCTCTTCCATTTCATTTTAGAAAATCCTGAGCTGGAACTGGAATAATTCAGTATGAATAATACTCTCCTTCAATAAATCTGTTAAACACCATTTTACAAATCGTAATGATGAATCCTCAAAATCTTATTTTCGTTTTTATAGAGTTGCATATATTAAAATACAAATCCTCTTCACAGCCAACAAAGGAATTTAGTAATCCTGAATATAATTTATTTAGCCTGAAATAAGTTTTTCTTTGATTATGTGTAGTTTCTGATCATAAGGAAGAATCTAACACCTCAGGAGAATAAAAACATGCTCTAATGATATGAGTAAAGTATATGGATAACAGAGACTACTTTACAACTTAAATATTTATAATCACACGCCGATAGCAGACAAACTGCAAAATTATTTCAGAATTCCATTAATTCACGCTACCAGTCCTAGCATTTAATAGATCAGAAGACATGCTACACAGAAGTTCCAGCCAGAGCAAGTGCAGAATGAGCAGAGACTCAGATCACCCCATTCCCAGAGCTGTCAGACCCTGTTTTCCTGCATGCTCGGTGGAGAGAAGCCTTTGGGTACAATTTTAAATTGTCACTGTCAATATTTCTTGCACATTTTGGCAACTAACATTCTAGTGAGCTACATGACAGCTCAAAACATTTTCTTTTGCAGCACAGAAGCAAACTACATTGTTCCTTCCTGCTTCTGCCATGACTAAGCAGCTGATTCAAACTCAACACTCATAAAAGATTACTAGATTGAAATTTTTCTCTCCCAATATAAAATAAATCCAGACACAAAAAGCAAGTCAACTATTGAACAGAACATTCAAGAGGTTTTGGGATCTTTTTGCAGGTAAAAAACAACAGCACCTCTAAATCTCTCCTGGCTTCTAAGCTGTCCATGTGAACCCTAGCATGTACTTTTAGTTCAGTAGTATTCTGAGCAGTATCTGAATGATAATCTCAGAAACAACACAGACTTCACCACCACAAAGAGTTACATGAGAAAGATCTTGCTTCTGACAAGAAAAATAAATAAAATAATAATAATAAAATGGTAGCATGGGAAAAGAGAGACTTCCCAGAACTGCTCCTGTGAAGCATTTTCCAGAACCTATAGCTTCAAAGGGAAAGTAAAATGTGATTACAGCAGATCTGCCACCAGAGGATGGCCACCAAAATGTAGCATGTATCCAGTGCACAGGAGAAAGAACAACCCTGCTTTGCTGACCAGGACCTTTCTGCATTTTCCCTCAGAGGGATCAGTGCACAAAGAGCCTGCTCACACACAAGGACTTGCCAAGTAGGGGCTTGTCAGAAGTGGGACCTGAGGGAGAAGCAACACCAGACTTATTCCAGTGCCACTGCTCCTCTGATGTACCTTCAAGGGTTCAGCAGCATGGCCTTTTCCTTCCTCTGCCTTCATTCTTGAAATGGAACTTGGTTCTCTATTTAATCACAATTATTTCCTCTTCTTAAATCACTTTTAGGGAAGGCTTCACAGTGAAAGAACACTTTTCTAGGCTTGGTGTTATAACTAAAGTAAGCTGTGCACTGCATAGTGAACAGAGTGCTGTGTTGTGGCAAACAATGCTAATTGCTGTAGTTTCTTGTTTGGTGGTTCTGCTTTGATAGCACAGTGACAAAGGTAACAACAGAAATCAAAAACTTCATTGCCTGCCTGCAGAGCAGGGCTAATTGACACCTCTGTGTTGAAGAGCACTGCTGTCTGAGTTTTGAACTTCACCCAGTCCAGGCCAGATTCAGCCATCACTGATGTAAATTTCTGCCAGACACCTTTTAAATAAAACTGAAAAGGAGAAAGTAAGCACAGAGTAGAGGCAAGTCAGTACAAAAACTGTTTATGTGACTTGTGGCAGCAAAGAGAAAACATGAAAACAGGACAGAAGGAAGGCCATGGAATTTCACAGGAAGTACATTTTGCAGTATGCAGAAAAGAGAGCAAGATAAACCAGGCTATTACTGGAACAATTGCCTGCCTTCTTGAATGGTGCTTGCTTCTACTTTAGGTTATACAGCTTTATCAAGAACAGCATCCTAAATTAAAGAGGCATCCAAACCTTATAGACTTGTCCATATGTCCCATTTCCAACAACTTGCACCAGTTCAAATATTCCTGCAGGGTCCTGCAAAAAGCAGAAGAAATAACATTATTTGGATTCCAGCAACCAATTCATAACATAAACTAATTGTACACCATCAAAAGGAAATCAGGCACATCTCCTAATGATCTGCATTACACACTAAAGGGGAAATTGCCAAACCACAGGGTAAGAAATGCATTAATATTTAAGTTTTCAGTCAAGTTTCGCAAAACTCTATACACAAAACAACTCAGTGAAGATTGGCAGGTACTACAGCAGATACAATAAATAAATGGATGTGTGTGAAAAATACTAGAATTCAACCGCTGACTTGGCTGACAGCAGAATAAGGAAAAACTCCAGGTTCCTGAGCCTTACCACACTGAGCTAGCCTGGAGGCTGAGCTGCTGTCCTCTGCTGTGAAACACTTGGTATGAGCAGTGCAACAAAGGAAAAAACCCAAAGAGCAGAATTGAAAAAATTACAATATAAAGCACCTGAGCCCAGTTACCTCAGTGAGAGGAAATGTACCAAACCAGGCAACATTAACTTAAAGGCAAGCTGAGAACACTCAACTCTCCTATTCTGCAAACATAACAAAGTGAATTTGACTGAGGTATTGAACTCTTGGCTTTGAACCCAAACTAGATTGCTGTTAATTTACATAAAAGATTAATGAGTCAGGTGATCAGTCTACCATTCCACATGAATGAACTTCTGTCCTCGTGCTATAGCACCAGTTGCTCTAAAACCAACCACTGAGGTTCTCCTGCAACATTGCTGCAACCCCTCAGGTACAGGCAGCCCATCTTGCTGCAAGGCACAGGCAGTGCTCCTTTCTGAATGAATGAGTACATAAAAAAATCAGCTGCAACTCACTTGAGCGATTTATTTAAAACCATTAAGAACTCAAGAGAACAGTTTCTTGGTTTCTGACTAAGCCATTTATCACTCTGCTCATTTCTTGCCATGGTATCACTAAGAGATTTATATAAAATATTATTAAATCCATGTGTCAATTTTACCACATCTGTTTCAGCAATCTGTCACGTCAGTTAATGCCTATTGGTACTGCTGAGGGATGTGATACAGAAAAACATTATCTCAAAGATACAAATTCTATTGGTTTTCCTAGTTGCAAAACATCCTTTTTTTGGAGGTATCAAGCTACTCTCCCCACTCCACTTACATGTTAATCTTTTAATATAAGCAATTCTTTCTTCATATCTGATACAGAAATGTTTGCCTTGGCAAAATCCCAGAGGAACCACACAGGTTTTTTTTCTGAGCAGATTCCACCTTTACTGGCACAACTGTCATGATAAATGCCAAGAGCTTTCAGAGCAACACAGCCCAGACTTCCATAACTGAAAGTCCTAGTGAGTTCATTTGGCTGTAAGTTAAATGAGTTTTAATATTAAACTTCCTGAGCTGTCAACCTTACAAGACTTTTTTCTTTTTTTAAAAAAGAAAATGCATAAATCGGATCAAGATGACTTACTTTTGACCCATGCAGGTCAGTCTGCATCTTTTTTTCTCTGTCTCTTATTTTAAAACAAGTCAGTAAGTGTCCTAGACTAAAACCCCAATTCCAAAAGCTCTCAGTTAAAAGGGAATCGTTGGGAACTCTCACATATGGACTTAAGCACTGGCATAAGAATACCTACAAGACTGGATCTCACTGAAGTTTGCTTTCTTCTCATTTCCTCATTTTACATTTTGACTCATCTGCATATAAACAAATGCTTTACTTCAGTGGGACTGAAGTCAGCAAATAAACCATTGCTACTGCTAAAGCAACTGGTGGGTGGTACAAAACCTCTGCACAGAACTGTGCTGCAGGCAGCTCATGGTCCAGGCAGTGAAACTCACAGCATCTCTCTGAGGAACCCTCCCAGTAAAGAGCTTCCATGCATAATATCCACTGCACTCCCCAGGAAGCACGAGCTAACTCCCCAGCTCTCCTGCAGAAAGCAGCACTGCTGAATAAAGAAGTGCCCACAGTGCACAGAAACCCAGAGGAACCTAAATTGCATTTTCAACTTGGACTTTGCAACTGCCTCTCTCACATAAATGTGTGCTGTCTTCACACTTCTTCTTTAAGCTCATTATGCAAATATACTAATTTAAGTGCCTCAAAATTAGCTTCCCTTTTGTCTTTCAATAAATTTAATTCTGATTTAGCACCCTAATAGTTTGCTTCTGAAGTCTTCTGACACTCTAGGAAAGACTCTAACAATTATCTAAATAAACAGTAGCATTAAAGTTAATATAGTGCATATCCTATCCTGTCCTTGCTAGAAAATTGAGCATTAACATCTCAAGCCTCCACAGGTCTGAGTGCAGCCAAATACTTGGCCATCTCTCCTCTTTTAATCAGGACACCACAGTGAACCAAGCCTTGTAAAGAGTCATAAAGGATATTAATCTGGCCTCTGGTCCTTGGATTGCCCTTGTTTGCTTGGATATCGGCACTGAGTTGTTTGCTGGCATTCTTCACAATGGGCCACCTTCTTAATTATCCTGGAGTTAGATATCATTGTTGATGTAGTCCCTCTCAGCTACCTCTTAAGCCCATGGTCCAGCTAACCCTTCACCAGCCAGCACCTGCTAAATTGCTAATTCCCTTTGAAAGATGCCAAAATACCGGCCTGAACATTCATCACTCTAAGGTTAATTACCATCACACACAGCACCATATGGTGACCACCTTGGCTTCCCTCGAGTCATCTGCAGTGCACTCAGAAAGCAAGAGCAAGACTGCTGACCCAGAGGTACCCAGAGGTGCCACATCCATCTCCTCTGCAAGGCAGAATGAAAAGCAACACATGCAGCAAGAGCGTGACCAAAACGCACTTTTCACATCCCTGCAGCTAAAGAAGATACAGGTGTCTGAAGCACAAGTTCTACAGGGCCTCTGTGCCACAGCACCTAATGCAGAGCTCAAGGGCTTTTTAGCCTCTGACTGCCCTGGTGAACCCAGCAACACCAGGAAACCTGGGCCCTTGTTTTCCAGGGAAAGGGGAGAGCCCTGCTGAACACCCATTTGGAGGGGAGGAGGGCAATCTCAGTTTGAAAATGACCCTGCTCACAACTGTGGGAGGCTGGAGCACAGCAACAGGCAGCTCCCACTGGCCCCAGGAACACCTCAGACATGACAAAGGCAAGGCACCTGTCTTTAAATTTCCACAGCTCAGCTACCTCCCACTTCCTACTTAGCACAAACCCCAAACTATGGGGTGCTGACTGCTGACAGGTTCAAGGGGGTTTCTTCCAAAACAAGACATTTATCCCTTCCCCTGTGGAGGCTGACACTCACAGTGCTCTCAGCCTTTGGAGGCTGTGAATCACTTGGTTCTGTCACAAAGCCTGCTGTCTGCTTTGCAGAATGACTCCTTTTCAAACTCACGCTATTTCCTTATTTATTTAAGGAGACGAGATTCATCTGCTAAAGCTCTAAAGAATTAAAAATAATAAACATTATTTTGCCTTACACCCCATACAGAGCCAGATTAAACTTCTGTTTGCTTAGTCAGTAGCCTTTTGCCATCCTTCCTAACTTTACTGTCCCTGCTGCTTTTCCTCTTTCTGCCTCCAGTCTGGAACACCCTCCTCGCCACGTGAATATCGCAAAGGCTTCTCCGAGCCCTCTTTCTATTTTCCCTGATATTTTTAGAAATATTGCTTTGGTATCACTGCCTGGGGATGACTGCTTTTTGCCACAATGGAGTTCTTCCCTCCTCTTCCGTCGAGAGCGCTCCACAGAAGACCTGTCTGGGTTGGATGGGCTGCTGGGCGGTGAGCTCCGGTAAAAAGGGCAAGTGGAACTCGGGGGCATCACACACAGCCCTGCTACCGCTCTGTGGATGTGAAACACGGACAGCACGGGTTTGAACGCGGCCAAAGTTCGGCTTACATTAAAAACATAAGAAGGTAACAATAAAAATGCACAGCAACCCAGGTGAATGCTGACTTTCTTAGCTTGGGCGAAGGAGGGGGAGTGGGATAAAAAATCCCAAACTTCAATAACAACAAGAAGGCCACAAAAGCCACCCCCCCCCAAGATCATAGTTTCCCTTTTGTTTTCTCCCCACAGCATGTACAACACCTTTCGGGATGCCGGTGGGAATCATTTATCCCCGTGGCAGGGGAAGGCGCCCCGGCGGCGCAGCGGCGGCAGCCGGGCAGGGCACCCCGCTCCANGTGCTCCCGGCTCCAGCGGTGCTCCCAGCGGTGCCCGCGGGGCCGGGCTGGGGCAGCCCCTCCGCCGAGCCCCTCCGCCCGGGGAACCGGGACCGCGGGGAGAACGCGCCCTGCCGCCACAGCTTAGCAGGCTGGAAGGACTTGTGGGTATTCGTGGGCCTCGTATTTAGAGACAAATATCAGTGGAAATGAACATTTCTCAGACAAAGTCCTTCGGCATTCTCAAAGGATGTTCAGGGCCTTGTCCCCTCGCAGAGAGCGAGCAAAGGGACCGAAATTCTCAATCAGTGTTTTCACGGTTGCAGGCATAAATTCAAGCCAAAGTGGTTGAAGTGTCTTTGGTGCCTATTAGCACACCAGGACGGCTGCAATGCCAGCAGCGAGGGGCAGTGTTGTAATAAAGGCATTTGGCAATTTCCTTGAAAGAAGTGCTGATGTATCGCTCAGCTTCAAAGTATTCTTGTACAATAGCCCACGTTGGGTGCATTATCGCTAATGTGACCCCGAATTTGTGCTCTCTGCCTGCGGGCCAGCATGTGGACGCACTGCTGAAGAGTTGAGGCCAATTGCTGCACTGGAGTGTAAGTTTGTTGAAGAACTAAACGTGTAATGCAGTGATGTGCAATGCAGCAGAAATCCACACACAGCAACAGCCCAGCCCCCTGCTCTCCCCTCGGCAGCATTTAGAAAATTCTGGCCCTCGTGTCACCTTTGTCAAAGCTAAGCCAGAGCTTTGCTCCCCATTTGAGCCTTCCTGCCTCACATAAATACATCATTAGCCTTTTTGCTTGTGTTATTTCTCACAATCCCTATTTATCTCTTGTCTCTAACCTTCAGGCTGTCCTTTGTCTCCTGCCACTTTCCACTTCCTTCCTGCCTCCCTGGTGAGAGCTGGTGTGAAACTCCCAACTGTTTTCTACCCAATGCCCTCTCTCCCTCTCCATCTCTTAGATCCTTCACTGAAATTAATCCTGCCTGCCTTGCCCACCTCTGGTGAGTGCTCCAACTTGAGGATTAATTTCCACCTGAGGGAAAGTTCTACCCCAAAAATGACAAGTATAAAAGTGTTTAGATGTATAACATGGCTTGTAGTATTTTTGCAGGCAGGTCTCACTATCCCTGCTATGTGCTTTTACCACCACATTTCCTTGCCTTCCCCCTGCACCCTGCTGGGAGTTTCTGTGGGTACTCCAGTCCCACTCACACCACTGCAGGCAGGGCTCTGAGCAGTTCTTCCCTTGCTGCTGAGGAAGGCAGAGCATCCTTTCCCCATAAAGGCCTTGCAGATATAACAGAAGCAACAGATGCTTTTGTCACCAATATTCACTGTTAAGGCTACAAATGCCACAAGGACAAGGTTGCTTTACATAGAACCAGATTTACAAGGCCTGAGTTCTTCACCAGCTTGCTGACTGGTTCTGCAGACACAGAAAGTGCTCCAGGTGTCCCCCACAGCCTCGTGCTCTGCTCCTGGCAAATCTTTCCCAAAGCCCTGACCAAGCAGGGTGCTTGTGCTATTGCTGAGCTGTGAGCAGGCTCTCCCACCTCACTCTTCTGCATGAAGCTGTGTGGCAGAGTAACTCCAGGAATCAGAAATTCGATGCATTAGTGCAATTGTTAATAAACCCACATTTGCCTTACCAATAATAAAAAGTGAACAGGTTCCCTTAATAATGAATTTGATTTTAAAAATACTAAACAACCAAATCAAAACAAACACAAGAGACAATTAAATGTTATCTGTACAGCTTTTCTCTCCAACAGCCATAGTCAAAATCCTGAAGCCAAATTCGGCAACCACAGACCCAAACATAAAAACCTTTCAAATGTCTGTGTGTATGCAAAGGATGTTTTGTATTAAAAGGGAAGTGCAAGAATGAAGGGGAAAGAACTTCCTTTGTTTCAGCAAAGGAAATGCCATTGTACCCCAGAAGTACTGGGCTAATTCTGAGCTCTTTTGTCATCACCCTTACACAGATTTAGGTCCATAATAATCCTACCAAGAGTAATTGCCCCTGCCAGATGTGACACTCAGTAAAGGAAGAGAGTGTTTAAAACTGAGGCTCAAATTGACATGCTGGCTTGTTTCCTCCAGCTTTGTTGACATTGGGTCTCAGCTACAGGTGTGAAGCTGGCAGAGAAATAAACAAGAAGATAACTCATAAGAGAACAAGACTTCTGGTCTACAGGAGATAAACAGCTTCTTAAACTGGGGGCTTAGCCTGAAAAGGACAAACTTTTTTCAGCATTTCTCTGAGCTGTAAATTCAGAAAAATTTTCATTCATAAAAACTCCAACACACATGATCGTTTTATTGAAATAATC